GATACCCAGCTAAGTGCCTGAAACCACAGGGAGTGCAGGTTCTGTCACAGGATGGCTTCAAAGGAAACCCAGAACCACTCCAGTCCCACAGAGTACGATGCAGCAGGGACAGACACGCTGCCCCTCAATACAGCCCCTCTCCACAGCATCTGCCACCCTAGAGACCACCATCCTGATGCCATGGCTACAGGGGCATGTGGAATTTTTCCTAGACATGCATGTGTCTCAGGACCTCGCAAGAAAGGCAGGGGTAAGCTGGAGGAGAGAGCAGCCCCGTGGCCAGGGGATGCATCTTACTGTGTGTGTGTGCCTGCATGCAGACAACAAAGTGCCACCGAGCCCCTCCTATTAACCCCTGGGGTTAGGGTCAGGCATTGGGGCATAGTGGGAAGAAAGTGGAACCAAGAAAGAATATCCCCATCCCTTCCTGGACAGAAAAAGCCCTTAATGTGTCAGTCTTAGTCCTGGTTACTAGTCCCTCACTAGGCAGCTGTGTTCCCGAAGCCTCATGTCTCGTCCAGAGGTATTAATGGGTGAAATCTTCACTGTGACCTCAGAAAAGGCCTATTCAGAGTAGGGGCTTTGGGGGGCTTTGGGGGAACTGTCAGGACATCCCACCAGACTCATGATCAGTCATACTGCAGAGCCCAGCAGCACTGCTTAGATTAACAGCAGAACTGACTACATGCACATACTTGCTCTGGTTGCCACTGGCCAAAGGAAGGGCTGTCCAGGGTGGCACCTGTCCATGCCTGAAGCTGGCACTGCCCTCCCTGAAAGGCTGCATCTGAAGTCCAGAGAACAGATGTGATTAGGTCCTGGCGTCCCATGCCGCATGCTGCCTGAACAAGGCCCCTCTCTGGGTCCCCCATTATGCTGCATCAGCCTGATGGCTCTCCTTCACAGGCCAGAGCTTTTTTAGGCTGTAGTTTATATATAATTTAATGCTAACCAGAGTTCTTTGAGATACTCAGAAACTGCAAACATTTTGTCAACACCTAATCAAAAGGCAACTGCTGCCTCCCTCGAAAGAGGCCCACATGTGAATAAACTAGAGGCCTCTTTACTGGGAAATGATTTTTTCCTGGCCGAGCCCTAGTGACCTGCTTGAAGGTCCCTGCAAATGGGTGGGGAGAGGAAAGGCCCAGGGTGTGTGGTGGGAGGAGATATTTGGAACTAAGATCAGAGTCAGGGGAACAAGGGCAGGTCTCCTTTCTTCTGGGATCCTCAGTAGCTTAGCTTCTAGAATGTGTTTCTCCTGAAGAATCAGAGAAGGTTTTCTCAAACTTTCATGTGTGTAAAAGTCCCCTGGGGAGCTTATTACAATGCTTATTAAAACCCTTGGTAGGTTTAGAGTAGGGTCTAAGGATCTACATGTCCTGCCTGCTCCCAGGCGATGACCGAGCTGCCTGTCTGAGGACCAGCAGGGACTCAGCACCATCCTCAGCCCTAAACTAGGATACGGGTGGGGGGCAGCACCCTGTGCACATCCCCAGTGTTGGCCCCCAGGGTGCACCCAGCAGGGATTAACTGCAAAGGATATGAATGAACCAGAATCTTCACAGCTGCTCTCCGGATGGGGTGAAAGGGACTGAGGACATACAAGGCGTTGGTGGCACTGAACCGGAAGATGGTTTTGCCTTTATTCAGCACGATGAAGGTCTGTGGAAAAGAGTGGTGTTAAGTTCTTTTGGAGAAAGGTTCAGAGCCTGGCAACTATGGTTGAGGGTGCTGTGGAAGGGAAGTAGGAAAGGGGACAGCAGTGGCACATTCAGCAGGTCAATGGACCCTCACCACCTGGCCCCAGGGTGGGTTAGAGGGGAGACCCAGTTTAATGGAATGTCAGGTTGGTTGAGATTTAGTTAAGTTCCAAAATTATAGTCCCCAAAGATGGGGCCTTTCATGGCCCCTGCCTGGCTGCCATCATAGCAGAGGCCCAGAGGACAGTGATGCTTCCTCCCTCAGCTGGCCCCTGCCCCTCTGCACAGCTTCTCCACTAGCTCTCTGGGTTGAGGGAGTGAGGCTATGGCTGGGGTGCTGGTCCAGCAGGGAAAACTTAGGAATGAGGAGAAGGAAAGAGGAAAGTACAGATACAGCCCCAGGGAGAACTTTCCCCGGGGCCCTGTTTCTAAGCATCCAGAGCAAACCTCAGCCTCACCCCACCCCAGAGGAAAAACCTAGTGCTTCCCTCTTGAGGGGGATCATGAGAAGCCCAAGGTGGCCCCTCCCTGAGCTTCCAGAAAGTCCCTTTCTATAGGGCACAAGGGGCGCAGGACTGGATAAGTGTTGCAGGCTGATTCATGTGCACAGGAGGTATGAGTCTGGGTCACAAGCAGCCCCTGGGGACAGCAGCCCATCCCCATTTGCCCAGGTGTATAGTTGGCCCAGCTCTGGGATCTCACTTCTCCAAGGGCTGAGCTGATAGAACAAGGTTTTACTTAATTTGGGCCTAGGAGACAAGTTGACCAGATAGATTAGGACCAAGAGCTCTCTGCCTGTCACCACATGGGACTACAGGCAGCAAGGCCAAGGGTTAGCAAGTGGAGACAGACGGTTAGAGGTCAGAATCATGTATGACAGAATCATACAGCTACTGTGCAAGGATTCTCAGACACAGCGACAGAAGAGAAAGTGTCCCTGGCTCTTCCCAAACTCAAGTGCCATCTGCCCCCAAAGCCACGCGTAGCCCTGACCCCAACCTCAGTCAGGTCTACCTGCTGTGATGCCTGCCTGTCCCAGCTAGGTTTGGCCTAATTGCCACCCAACATCTCACCATAATCTTGATTAGTTACCAGCAGTGGCTTAACCCAACTCAATTCTTATTGACCAACTATGATTTAAGCTGGCCCATCCTAATTAATCCCACCTCTGAGCCTAACTCTGACCCCAACTGTGGCCTTAACCCATGACCTTGACTACACTTGAATCATTGAAACCAGGGGGTGCTTCAGCTGGGAGCCTAGGAGGAGAACCTGTCTCAAGGCCTCCTTTCCCTGCTGCCTATATAGACTAGGATAGACCGGGTGGGCTTTCCCTTCTCACTTGTACCCACTCACACATGACATGTGCACACATCCAGGCAAAGATATGCCTCGTGCTACCTTTAGGCTTTTGGTCTTAAATATAGTCTCAAGCCACAGCCACATACTCTCACACTCACCATGCACTCACATTCATGCTCACTCTCACTCTGAGAGTGTGAGAGTGCAGCAATGTGAGCAGCCACTTCTCCTTGGTGCACAGTCTTCTGGGGAAAGGCCTCCCCCCACGTTCAAATCTTCCTCCCTCCTGCAGCGAGGCCTACAAGTGTAGGCAGCAGGCAGGAAGACTGAGCCGCCATAGGAGCTCTGTATAACCATGGCCTGGCTGAATGTAGGACTCCGGCATGTGGGCTTGAGACAGGGGCTAGGGCCAGGGGCTCAGACAGGGCAGTTACCTTCTGGGTGGGAGCCATGCTGGGAGAAAACCTGAGACACTCTGCCCTTATTGGCAAAAGCATTTCCTCTCCTTCCACTCAGGATGGACAATGGTAGAACCCCTGACCCCAGTAGTCACCGTCTCCTGCAACCCCCCCTGGCCTTACTGGTCCCATTACCAGCTCACAAGGCCCAGGGAGGTGCTGCTATGGCCCCAGTCTGAGCCAGGGCACACACGATATTCAGCAAGCTCTCATGCTGCCAGAAGGGCTGGGTGTAGGGGGTACAGGCTGTGGGGAAGGGCCACATGCTATGCTCTGGGGCCCAATCTCAGGGTGAGACTCAGGGCTTGACCCTAATTTACATACACACTATGGGACAGGGAGGAGTCCTCTGGAAGAGAAAATCTAACTACAGAAAATTCCTAAAGAAAGCATCCACGGGAGGCAGGACCAACGGAGGCTGCTCTCACTTTTCTTCATAGCACCAAACTAGCATCTCAGACTGCAAACATTTTAGAAGGGTAGGAAGGGTGAGGATGGGTGACAGTCACCTTTTGGGTGCTATAGAAGGGGTCCAGGTCTTCCAGGGGCTCCCCAATGAGCTCCCGGGGTGGGTTGCCATAGAGATCTGGCAGCTTTTTAGAGGCCTGCAGGTCCAGCTGGGGCCGGGGAGCCTCCTCCTCAGGCAGCCCATCACGGCTCTCCTGTGAGGTGGCAGAGCCACGGGCTTGCTTCTCCACCATACGCTTCTCGATGGCTGCCAGAGACTCCCGTGTGAACCTTCGGAAGCTGCTCGTGCCCCGAGGTAACAGGAAGTTTGCCATCTTCTCATCCTGCTTCTGGGCACAGGCTCTGCTCACGGTGCCTGTGGGGAAGCTGGAAGACACAGACAATGGAACTGATGCTGTGCCCAGGGCTGGTGGCTGAGCTGGAGCAGGGAAGGATGCCTCTGCAAAGTTGATCCTGACCCCCAGCCCCCACATTGCCACTGCTCAATACACACACCAGGCCCACACTGGCCTGGGTAAACCCAGAGCCCCCTAGGCTGTGGGCATGCATGGGGACTGGCAGGGAGGTTACCCGTCCTTTCTAATCCTGACAAGCATGTCTGAATGCAAGCAGGCAAGAGCAACTGTGTCATCCAAGCATCTTCGTTCTGCCCCAATCAGCACAAAAGGAAATGCTCACAACTTCGGGTTTCTTAATTGTCTTCACTTGAGACATTCCACAGCTGGTGCCAACCCATTCTGGGCAGAGGAAGGAAACCCCATGGGGCAGGGATGGGGCTGTCATCGTTTTATCCCAGATCCCTAGCAGAGCTTTTCTTTAACAAATGAATGACTGAATGAATGATGAAGAAATGTAGGTGAGGAGTCAAGGCATTAGAAGGTACTAAGTCTTGCTCCTCCTCCCAATTCTTCTCTTCTAGAGGAAACCCTGGAGCTGTGAGGAAGGCAGACTCTTAGCCTGAATGGTGGGGGCCAATGTTTGGTCTCCCCAAAGCACCACATGCCTGTACCAGGAAGGGTGCCCAGACTTCACTTGGGGCACAGGACGTGTCCATTGATGAGACACCTGTGTTTGACACAGGAGACCAAGGAAAAAAACCAAGGGTTTTTGGAAATAGCTGGATAACAATTTTGGGGCTGTCATCCATATACGGGCACCTTGTGTTTACAGCCTGGTAGAGCCCCTGCTGCAAGGGTCTCAAAGAATCCCGAGTATGGCATCCTCTGAACCAATCTTGTCCAAAAGGTGGGAAATATTTCCCTTGCCCAATCTGAGCTATTTCACTTCCTTGGAAAGGTTAAAATACAGTATAAAATATATACCAGTATTAGCCTGGTACTTTAGGTAGCTTGAAGATCTGGCTGCCTTCCACCCCCACCTCCACCCCTGCTTTTAAATATATATATATCTACACATGCACACACACACACACATATGTACATACATACATACATACATATACACACACCCCCTTTTTTTTTTCCTTTGAGACAGAGTCTCATGTTGATACCCTTAGTAGAGTGCTGTGGTGTCATAGCTCACAGCAACCTCATACTCTTGGGCTCAAGTGATTCCCTTGCTTCAGCCTCCAGAGTAGCTGGGACTACAGGTGCCCACCACAACGTCTGGTTGTTTTTAGAGATAGGGTCTTGCTCTTCCTCAGGCTGGTCTTGAACTCCTGAGCTCAAGCAATCCAACTGCCTTAGCCTCCCAGAGTGCTAGGATTACAAGCGTGAGCAACTGTGCCCAGCTAAATCATATATACCTTTAAAGATTTCGTACCAACCAAATAAAATTTTAGCAATAAATTGAAGCATAATGCAAAAAAAAAGAAACAAAAAAGAGAGAGAGAGAAGAAATGCTGATGGAGCATCTCTGGCTCCTCACGGCTCCTTGCTCCCCTCCTCCCAAAAGTGAAGTCTGATCCAAAGTGACAGCAGAACCAGAAAACAGTGACCACTCATCAACTAGGATATCCAGCTGGCACATGAGTGTGACACCACCCCGGGAGAATGTGGCCCTTGGTGGCCTCCAACAATCCAGAAACCAGTGTGAACATGCTCTGCCCATGACACTAAGGGAGAAGAATGCACTCCGGACTGCCCCACCAAAACAGGATGTGGTCAGAATGGCTCCTGAATGTGACACCAAGTCGGAGGCTGCTTCTGCTAATTACCACATCAAACCAAGAATGGCCAGGTTCAAAGGGGCAAAGGAGACACATATTGAAGATCTCTGCCACGTCAGAATCCCTTTCTGTCAACCAAGGGCCAGCTTTATCTTGATCTTACTCCTGCAGCAAAACATGTCACCAATGGCTCCAATGAGCTGCAGCTCTACTGACCCCTGCACATGGCTGGCAAACAGTCTGCCCAGCCCAGAGCACAGTAAGCAGGCACCTGGCCAAGGGACAGGTAAACAGTGAGCAAACATAACACAGCCAGGCCTCAAAAGGGCACCTCTGGTCTCCAGGGAAGCATGGCATGCAACGCAGGTAGGGAAGCAGAAAAGCAGTCCCAGGACCTGCACTTTAAGAGGCACTCCATCCTCTGCATCTTTTTCTCATTTCATTCAATCAAGTTAAAGGAACATCTTTGTTAAAAATAGCAGGTGAAGGAGTAGGTTCCCATTTTATAAAAGCATTTCCCTGTCTACCTTCCATTTCTGAGTGAACAGAGAGACATCTGTAACACAATACTCGTCACCAAATGTGAATGGGGCTTTTTTGTGTATGCTGACGGAAATTTGGGTAACTTTAAACTTTTTCTTTGTACTTGTCTTCATTGCCTGAATTCTTTATGATAAGCTTGCATTATTTTTACAAAAACAATGAAATCATTAGTCGTTTTACTTTTTAAGAAACCCAACCTCGATGATAGCAGCTTTTTGCAGGACAACCCCCTCCACTGTGAGCAATCACTCACTAGTTCAGTAAATTGGGAAGCTACCTTTTTTGCTTGGCATGATTTCCTAAAAATGGAGCTCTCTGTCTCACTATATCCATCTATGTCCATACACCTGCAAGGGCTCTAGAGACACGTGTACATCCACAGACCTGCAGAGACTCACTAGCACACACTGGGTGTGCGTGCACATACAATCTTGCACCTGCACACATGTCTGTTATGGTGAAGATGCTTTTAATAAATGACTCATATAGATAGGTGTGTGGAAGTGTACAGGTGGATGAATTTCCATGAGTGAAAGCACCTGGTAACCAGCACCCAGACAAAGAGATGGCTCCTGGCCTCTCAGACTTTGGTTCTTCCAGTCACCAATTCCCCTTCTTCACCAGGGAATGACTCAGCTGACAGCTAACAACATAGGTTAGTTTAGCCTGTCTATGTGGTTTAATGGCTCTTAACAGACCCCCTTGGAAGGGTAGGGAAAGGATTCAGGGGAGAAATCACATCTCCTTTTCATTAACCTCTAACTTAAATTTAGCATTTCCTACAATCATGAATGTGGGCAATGAAACAGAAGCATTAGTAGTACCCAAAACGAAAAGAAACTGCAGATATTTCCCTGTCCCATTACAGTTGCTGCTGGTATCTTCAATATCACTAATGGTCATTGAGATTTCAAAATTATAGTACTTAGACCCACCGCTAGATTCTATTATTTAAAGCATCAATAAAGAAGCACATACATTACTCTATCAAAAATTGGTTTTTAAGTGTTCTGAGAGCTACATTTCAATGCAATTGGTTTCCTTTTTAGTTCTATGTATTTTATTTTGTCTTAAAATATGCAGTTCTGAGATGGGCTTCACACGGATGGTTGAGAAAGGTCAAGACCTCAGCTTGGTCCTTGCCCATTTGCTGACTCTGAAGTGTCCTCCTCTATACCTCAGCTCCCTCATCTGGAACATGAGCAAGGTAGATGAGATGACCCTCCCTGTACTTTGTGGGATTCTTTGGTGCTCTCATTATACTCCCTACATGGCAGGTTCCAGCCTTTCCTCTGGCCACTGGCTGTGATTCACCTGGACTCTCATTTCTGGGTAGGGATGGAGAATAGTAAGAAAGGTTCTCCCAGGAGAAAGGCTGGCCTTTGGACCCCAGTCTTCCTCACTCTTAGGCCTAGGAAGTCCCATTCTGAGTCCTGCTGTGGCCCTGTGGGAGAGGCAGAACAACCTCAAGGAGATAGGCCCCAAGTCCTTGAAGACAGACAGAGGCTAGGAGACAGATGTCTAGGTTCATGTGTCCAAGTCCTGCCATACTCTCCGGTCCAAGCTCTAGTGATAAGGCTTGGGTCTTAAGAAGGGTCTTACCCAGCTGGCCTCCAGCAGAGCACTCTGGGGGCCATGGCGTGGGAGGAATATGGGCCACCCAGGGGAGCTGCTGAAAGAAGATTCCAGGTGAAGTTCCCTGCTTTGTGGCCAGGCAGCCTCAGGTTCCAAAGTAAACCCACTGTCTTTTGTCTTTGGCCCCTGCAGGCCTCACAGTGGGTGGGCAGGATCCATTTCTCCCTTGTTCTCCTGTGGCCTGCACCTGGCTCTGGCCCTGCCCCTTCCTTCAGCAGTTCAGGCCCACGCCCTGCTGTGGCCAAGCCTGGCTCAGCCCTGGCTGCAGGGTTTCCGGTGTTCCACGCTAAGAAATACTCAGGGGTGGTCTGGGGATGCTCTGGGCTCAGGCTCAGCCCACCCCTAAAGCTTAGGAAGTGAGCCCCTAGCTTTTGGGGAAAGGACCCACTCCCAGCTGCAGAAGGCTAAAGGGGCAAACACATAAGAGGAGTGTGTCTTGCACAGCTCCAGCACACAGGGGAGGCTGGACGTGGTTTGATTCCAAGACCACAGCCACTCTCCCCTTAGATATCAGCATCTCACAATTCTCCTGTGCCCAAGACAACTGCTCCATCTGTATCATCTTCTTCCTCTACACCAGCCCTATAGGACCTCTTGGGGCCAGGGTAGCTGCTTCCAGCTGACCACTCTTTCTGGGCTGGTTTCGCCTGTCCTTTCTGCTTCATTCTTGCTGACCCCCACTCCATCTTATCCCAAGATCATCAGCCTCAGGTTACTAAGCACATCTCTTTCTAGGTCCACCTGGCTCCTGAGTGTTAATGGGAACAAGCTGTGAATCCTCCTTTTCAAACTGGTTCCTCCTGACATCCTTTTTTCTAGCACTGGCTGCAACCCCCAAGTCCCACCCCAAACCATCTCCCTCCCAGTGCCACTGCCCTGGGAGAAGCCTCCTGGCCCCTGCGTGGACCATGGCAGGGCTTCCCTCTTTACTACTATCTCACTTGTGCAGCCTCCCACTCCAGGACTTAGATACTCCCACACACACTCCCCGCCCTGTGCGATGGCAAAGTCACCTCCTGGTTCCCCT